CCAGAATCAGAGCGCACTTAGGCGCTTGCAAGATCATGAGCAGATGCTACAACTTGAGGAAGGCACCTGCACTATCCTAAGCAACAAACGATTTGAAAGGGGTCAGCCATTCTGCATGCAACAGCCCTGCACGGAAAGCTTGCGAACGCACCTCATGGCGCAAGAGCATGGCGAACACGCTTGAAGGATCTTGCTAGCCATGACAAAGTGCCATGACAGAAATGAGATGAGCTCAGATGAGGATGGGCGCTGCAGATGTTGAGACCAAGTTCGTGTCGGTGGAGCGCGTGGCCGAGTACCTCCGCCTGGAGCCGGAGGAGGCCGAGGAGGCCGATGAGCACAGTGAGCACAGGAGGCACAGGAGGCACTGTGGCACCTCAGTTTTGAGCACAGTTTGGCGAGCTAGTGAAGGTGAAGTGCACCTTGAAAATGTGGCCATGCGATATCGGCTCCACCGCGCGCTAGTTCTGAAAGGCATCAGTCTGAATGTGAAAGGTAAATCCAAACTGGCCTTCTGCGGGCGCACAGGCTGTGGCAAGAGTTCTCTATTCAGTGTGCTCAATCGCTTGTATCCGCTCGCATCTGGCCGAGTACTTGTTGACAAGAAGGACGTCAGCCAGCTGTCCCTGCAGGCTTTGCGTACGAACATCCGCGTGGTCTCGCAGGAAGCCTTTCTGTTGTCGGGCTCCCTAAGGCAGAATCTAAGTATGGGGGCAGGCGTTGATCATGGGGACGACGTGCTGTGGCACTGCTTGTCCGTAGTAGGCTTGGAGGAGAAGGTGCGGAGCCTCCCTGGCAACCTGGACCTCAAGGTTGACACTGCTGGGCAGAATTTTTCTGTTGGCGAACGCCAGCTAATCACCCTGGCCCGTGTTCTCGTTCCGAATTTTCCTTGCTGCAGTTTGGCGGACTGGGAGCCCCCTCGCATTTTATTGTGCGACGAAGCCACTGCAAATATCGATGTCCTCACAGATGAGAAGGCCAGGTTAGAACAGAGGCGGGCAGTTTTAAAATCGCTGAGATTATTGAAATCTTTCCATGTTAGGTGCACCAAGTCGTTCTGGGAATGGATGCCACGGTGATGATGATCTGCCACTTCGCTCCCTGTAATCGAAGTTTAAGCGGAGCAGAGCAGTCGCCATGTTTGCTCATGCCCGCAGATTTTGTTCTCTGAGGCCACCGGCTCCAGCACATAACGCGCTTTCAGCAGGCCGGGTCAGAGCTGCGACAGCTGTTGTGCTGGTTTTGCTTTGCTGCTTTGCTGCTGTGCTTGGCTCTTGTAGCAGTGGCTTTTAGCCTTTCGGCCTTTGCCTTCAGGTCGTAGTGCTTGATGAGGGCCTGGTAGCTGAACAGGGCTCGCCCGAGGAGCTTCTGGACTCTTCCAGGCTACGGCGATATGGCGACGCAGCTTGCAGCTTGGCAATGAGAGCTTGCATGAATATGCGTGAATTGGGTAGGCAGCCGCTCTCGCACTTGGCGACCCTCTGCGCTGCTGCAGGGCTCTGAGGGGCTGTGAGCGCCGCCTCCTATTCCAAGTGATTCCAAGTCCACCAGAGACCTGCGAATGCAACGCGAAGTCGCAGAGTCGCACAAGTCGGAGAGTTGCTTCGTAGCTGCTAACCTCAAGCTCAAGGCCAAGAAGCAGCGCAGAAGCAGAAGTCCCCAGTCCATCCCAGTCACAGTCCCTGTTTCTCGTGATTCTCATGTTCCATGTGGTCAGCGCAGGGGTCCTATAGGGCACCAGAAAGCATTTTGGCCAGGGCCGAGGCAAATTGATCAGCCGATTCAACAACATACTCACTCGTAACAGTCAAACGTCTCATTAAATACACTTACACGAGGTGAATTTGTTAGATGACATTAGATGCAACGCATTGCTGAATTGCATTGCTTGCTATCGCACTAATGATGTTCATGTATGATGCTGTAGTCAAAGCCGAAGCCTATCTACCGCCAACCCGGCTGCTGCCACAAGCATCTAACGAATTTGTTAAGGACAGCTTATATTGCTAGGAATCCTTAATTTGCGCTGTACAGAATCTTGAGTTTCAGCCGTCAGTGCAGATTGCACAGTGCAGCAGATGCCGCCTGGTGACGAAACATGCCGGATGGGATCTTTTCCACATGCGGCCCTCAGAAGACCAAGGTTAGTTTGTCTATGGTGCCGTGTCAGCCAACAGGTGCCTTGAGCTAGCCCTGAAATGCTTCTAAGTTTTCTGCACTGCCAGTATTCTTGTTCTGTAGTCGAGCACGGAGAAACTTCACTTGATCACAGCTAAGGCTCAGAAGACTGTAGAGTTAGGCCTTGGCCTGGCCCTATGCAAAAACCACTGCCCCACCTGCCAGGGGTACTAGGAACGGGACCTTTTTCTGCAGATGTGAGGCTGGGCATAGGCTTTCGCCCCGTTCGGTGTAGGCTTGATGCTCAATGCCAAGACACGAATGTCAGGTCGGTCTGACACGCGTAGTATCTCAGGTGCTCCCGATGGGACGTGTTCCTCCAGCTTCAGTCAAAATCCGCCGGAGCAACAGGCAGTGTCCTAGTGAAACCCTGTCCGGGGATCATTTGCCAGCGACGTGTTGTAAAGAGTCCGGGTACTGCCACTGGACGCTCCTGCACTGTGGTCTTAGACGGTAGGATTGCAAGTCCAAGTCCAAAGCGTGAGCTTTGGAGGTGTGCTCATTGTGCTCACAGGCGGTAAACACAGAGACGGTGCCGGATGGAACGCTTCGAATCTTTTACAATCCACGCATTTTCGCGAAGGAGGCCCTTAATCAACATACGCTGGACATCCATCTTCAGGGCATCGGAGCAGCATTCGCTGAATAGAGACGGAGCAATGTCCCTGTCGGCAATCTGCAGGCTACGGCACGCGCCCTGGTTGCCACTAGTGGCGCCGGCACGGCGATTGAAGCGGCAGCTCAAATGCTCGATTGGATCTCTACCGCCCTACAAGGCCCATCGTGGACCAGCTCCCCAATGGTCTTGTGAGGCAGTCCTAGACTTGACAGCGGTTGAAGTGATACCGACAGTCTCTCTGGTTTACCTTTCAAAGAGATATCTGAAGATGGCACTGAAGAGGTTCTTTACACGATGCTGGAAAAATTTGAGCAGCGTGCCCGAGATTCCCCTCTGCCACTGTCAGAGACCCTTCATGTTTAACTACTTTTGGGAGGAACCGCATTGGGTCCAGCCACTAGTTCTCTCCCCCCGCAGGGCGTTGCTCGTGGCCCGTACAAATTACAAACACACAAGTCACGACAGATGACAGCAAATCTTGACAAAGCTCGCCCTTCGATATTTGATTCTGCCACATGGAGAGTTCCCGGCACGAAAGTCTCAGCTGCCAGTTCCTTGCCACATGCCGCTCTGTTTTCGCAGCAGATTAGGCCAGAAGACCCAAGGCACCGCTGGCCTACCAACTGTCTCGTCCACATCCGGAGTGTGCGCTTGTTCTACACCACGTAGAGGATCCTGCGCATCTTCATCATGGACAGGTTCTCTTGGCTGGACTGTGAAGCAACTTCGATCACTTCTTGGAACTCATCATTTCCAAGAGCATCAACAAAGGAACCCTTGAGGTGTAACTGGGCCCTCTGGGTAAGCAGGGGAAGCATTGATGACATCCTTATGCAGGGGGCCTTTCCATACATTAGCAGGTCACATAAGTCACATGTAACTCGATGTTGGGTCGGCTTTTGCTGCCTGGCCCCCCAGAAGTTTCCCTGTTGGCTGCACTCAGAGCAGTGCCAACAGACTTGTTTTTCTGGGAGGCTCAGATGATGAGGCTGCCGGGCTGTCTCTCCCCCATCTCGCCGCACTGGCATTTTGGCATGCCAAAAAGAACAATTTTGTAAGTTAAAGACTTCCACAGAAAATACAGTGGCAGCAATCCCTGTCCATTAATTATGACAGGCCCGCTAGCGTTGGATCTCCCACTTCGCCCACTTCACCCGGAAAGAAGATCCGCCGCAGCCCCGCAGCCCCAGTTGATGGCTCTTGCTGTCATGTGCTGTGCTTGGTGCTGTGCTCCGATGTAGGCCGCAATGCAGTGGTGCTTGGCATTCCCCTCGACCTACGGGGTGCGCAGGTGTCGCTCCCGGTTCCAGTCACGCACTCAGCATTCCACTTGAGAGTTAGCAAGGCCTTAGCAGTTGCCTTAGCAGTTGCCTTAGCAGTCGCTCTGCAGGTGCGAACAATCACCGGGGCAATCATGGCGCCATCACCAACGGCAGGCCACGGCAATCCACACCTAATAAGTTCCTTATCGAGCTTGTTATTTGGTGTCTTACAACTACAAGGCAGGTGCTCACTTGGAAGCTACGACTCGGCTTAAATTGAGATTTTCTTTGCTATTTAAGTCTGGCCCGTCAGATGGCTTTTGTACATTGGCTCCTTTGTCAATGTTTGATTGGCTGTGCGGCGTGGCACTTCTGTCCGACCTTGGCCGCATGGGTCCAGTGGAAGGTGCCATTTCATCGTTGCCTTCTGCAATCCAGCCCGCGCAGCTTGCAGGCACAACATTTGTCACCTCACGAAAAGCTAGTGAGCTCCTGGTTCAGGACAGGCGCCTTTGCGCAAAGTGGTGCAAGGTGGCGCTTGAGCGATTTCAAGAAGAGGAGCGGAGAGGACACATTGTACAGGCCACGGAAGGTAGCTTCCAACGGAGCACATGCCGTCTCAATCATGTTGCATTACTTTTAGTTTTCCAGCCGAATTAGATTTGGCATATCTCGGCACCTCCACCCTGTGCGGGCCTGTCCATGCCTCGCTCGACTTTTGGCCAGTTTGTGTGTGGAGCTGAGAATTCGTGAAGACATGCCAATTTCACTGCTGCAAGTCGGTAAGCTCATCTTTCAGGGAGAAAGGTAGCATCGCGGAAAGCGCAGTAGGTGGCAGTCACGAGTCACGATAATAGGTGGCAGAGCAAATAAAAGAAATCGACTTGGATGACTCGGCTCCAGGGGGGAAAGCCCTCTTCTAGCTGGGCTTTGCCGGGATGTACGATGAGAAGACCAAGGCACCAATTAGCCAACCAAGCCAACCCTTGCCAAGTCAAATTAGCAAGTTACTTGCTGAGGCAAAGGGACTGAATCGGAAGAGTTTTCTTGCCAGGCGGCGGTGCAGAAGCTTCCTCTGCTTAGCGTCAAAGCGGGGCCCCGCGACGGGCCCGACTGGGTCCGGGTGCTTTGGTGGGTGCTGTGCTACCTGACGTGATTGGAAGCTGACGAGGTAGAGCGTCTCAAAGAAGAGCTAGCAGCTTTGATCAGATACGTGCAGAACAACAAGGCCCGGATTTGGCTACTAAGAGGCATGCGGCATGCAGCAGCTTTCGCATCAACACAAGGAGAATGACAATGACTGGTTTCACATCGAATCCAACGAGGCAGTGAGAACAGGAACAGTGGTCCTCAGTGCCTCCGGAGCATTGAGACCTGCAGGACGGGACCAAATGGGCTGGCAGTTGCTGGCTCCGCGGCCCAGCTGTGAACGTAACACTTGGCTTGAAAGCGGGTTACCGAGGTATATACACAATCTTCTGAGATATGAGTTCAAGCTCCAGTTTGAGGCTTTCTGATCTCAGCTTTGTTGCTTTGTGATTTGCTCCCTGTGAGCCGCATGCTGACAGATCCCCGCGGGCTATCCGGCAGTGCCAATTGAATTGGCGAGTGCCTCAGCGCATCTCAGCGCGTTCTTGAGGAAAGTATGAAGGTGGCTGTTGAGGCTGTCTCTGCCCTTAGAGTCCGTTGCATGGGTTCGTGCTTTTCTCAACTAGTTGGAGAAAGCAGATCTCCAGTTCTAGAACATATGTTCACCTGACATACTAAACACAAAGCAGCTGAAGCAGCTAGGCTGTTTTTTCTGCTGGCTGCATCTTTCTGAAAGGAACTACCGGAGCTGGATGGGAAGACCCCCAAGATGTGCCACAGCATTCGGAGCCACGCATGGCCATGCCAAGTTTGAGGAACCTGCAGAGCCCAGAGCAGAGAGCTTGAGGTACCGTGGCGGAAAGATCTGTTTGGATATCCACTTTGCGCCGCTGTGGAGGCCAAAGGCTGTCGAGCCCAGACTTCGAGCCTCCCAGCTTCCTTTCGCAAGAAGGACAAATGTCCCAAAGTTTGGCATTGCTCATGCGCTCTCTCTTGCTGGGAACTTGAAGTGGAGCAGCGGAGCATGCAGATGGGACGGGGCGTCTGCATCTGCCAAGGCTTTGGGACCTTGGTTGGCTGCAGAGATTCCTTATCTCATCGAGGCTGGTGTGGTGACCCATCGGAATGGGCTTGGCACTGAGAGCAGTGACAGGACCGCTCGATGAGCAGCTCACTGCTGTCATTGCTACTGCTTCTGCTTCGCAGTGAGGTCAGAGAGCGAGAAGTGCGTGGCTAAGATTGCACGGAGCAGTTTGCAGGTACCTATGTTCCGTGTGAGAACGAAAAAATTGTTCACGAGGTGACTGCGAGCCGCGCGAGCAGCAGAGCAGCTGAGCGGTAGCGGAGCTGAAAAGCTCGAAGGCTCGAAGGGCCCGTGTCCGAAAATGGATTTGCCGGTGCCGACGCCAATTCATGCCACACTTGCTCCGCACTTCCGATCCAGGTGTACATAGGATGAACGCATGTATATAAGCCTGGCCATCTTAAGGAGCTTCTATAGGCTTCTCTTTTGCAAGCCTGCGTATAACTTGAGAACTTCGAGCAGGAAGAGCCTAGCGAGTGATTAGATGCGATTAGCATGTCAGCAAGGGTCAGCAAAGGTCAGCTTCGGTGCTTAAAGCATGAGTGATGAATGCAGCTTCTTGGATTCCCTGGCTGCGCGACTTCCACTCAGTATTTCTGATGAAGGGCGGGCGAGTTTGGGCAGTCAAGCGAAACTCTAAGGATACGGGGCGAGGCCTTATCAGATTGAGGCTTTCACCCGCGCGTTTAGTCAGAACTGCATCCTGAATATGCCGACCGGCACGGGAAAGACACTTGTCGCGTGGCCTGGAAGCAGGGAGAAGAATCCAAAGTTTCTGGAAGACCACACCGATTGCTGTTGCAAAGGTGCATGTTGCTGGATGCCCTGGGCGCGCCTAGCATCTTTGTCGTGAACTCGCGGGCGCTCGTCTCCCAGCAGGTGGATTACCTGCACCAGCACACTAGCCTTCAAGTTGGGCGTGGACCCGATGCTGGAGTAGCTTGGTAAAGATTCAAAGCAAGGAAGTTATTGTCAAAAACGGAAATGGCAAATGTGTTTAGTGCAAAGATTGGTTGTCTGCTTGAGGTCTTCGTTTGCACCGGGGAGGTGCTCAGGATGGCTTTGGAAGCTGGAGACGTCGAAGCCAAAGCGTTGCGCTGCGTGGTCTTCGATGAGGTGAGGAGAAAGCGGTGGATCAACGAGAGGATGTGAAAAACATGAAAAAAAGAGAGAGAAGAGAGACGGTGGAGAGCATTAACAGGAGGATGTGGGCCATCTCTCGCCAAATCTGGGTTAAAGGTGAGGTGAAAATGAGCCGAAGGTGATGGAAAGTGCTGAGGTGAGGACCGAGGAGAGAGACTTCCCCACTCCAAACAAAAGACACTTCCCCGCGTCAGGCGCATCATGCAGTAGGCTGGCCTCTCAGTGAGCACTCAACACTAAACCCCTGCCTTTGTGAGCTGAGCTGGAAGGCAAGCACCCGTACGTGGCCGTTCTTGCGCAGTTGCCTGGCGAGACGCGAATCTTCGGGCTGACTGCCAGCTTGCTGCATGGAGACTCCGCCAGATTCCCAGGCAGATTGGCTCGATATACATGCCATTTCCATGTTCCACAATTTTTCAAAAAGGTACAGGACCAGCTTAGCGCATGAGGCGGCTGTAGTTTCTCCGACAGTTTAGACTTCGACTGCCTGAGATGTCGCCACACTCCCTTATCAAGAGATGAAGATATGATATGACCTCATCTCCGTCCAGGTTTGCAATTGACTGCCCCCCCCCTGCAACCCTAACACCATGTTGTCAAAGAAAATGCGTTAAAAGGGCGTTCAATCTCATTAACGTGCTATATATTGGTATGTTCGCCCACGTCTTGCAAACACGGAGGGTGCATAGCGCGTAATACAAGATTTACACCAACGAGAGCACTAGCGAAGCAATGCTAATGTGAGCACGAACATTCAATAATACTGGGATTGATACAGCTATCAGTATCAGCTGCTGCATAATATTACTACCAACATTTAGAATAGCAATACTAATGCCAATGCCAATCATGGTATTAACAACAATACGAATATCAATACCGATGTTGATATTACTAGTGGTACGAATATCGATAGGTCTTTTGGGAGGGGGGTTCCCACCTATTTCTTTTAGGTCCCCGGGACCTATTTCAGGAGGGTGGTTCAGGTCCGAGAAAATAGGTTCAGGAACACATGTTGCACCAGCGTTTATTATGTTGGAACGCGCAGGAATGCTTCATTCATGGGGACACAGAAGCTTGGAACTGGGATTAGGGTTTGGGGTATGGGGCTTAGGTTTTGGTAGGCTGCACATGCAAACAAGAGAGAAGAGAGAGGAAACGCCCATGATTTTCGAGGGTGGCCTTGTAATCATTGTTTGGGGTTGTGGGCGGAATGCTAGTAATCCTTATTAATCCCCATCTAGGAACTCTAGGAAGGAATGCCTAGGAATCCTTAAAAATCCTTGCAAGGGCCGTACACGATACACCAAAATAGATCCGTGGATGGCCTTTAAAATGAAGCCCTGAGCCCCTGTCCTGGACCTATTTCTAAACATTGTGTGGAATACCCAGGAATCCTTGCTCATCCTCATATACAGAACTTAGAATTCCAAAATGAATACTCCCAAGCCATGCCGGCGTGCCAGTTGTTTGGTCAAAAATTTGACGGCCGGGAGGGGACCCGTCCGCTGGATGGAAAAGATAGTATTTTTGCCTGTTGCATTCCCATGCTTTGCACAACTGCAGCTTTGCAAGGGAGAGAGAATATGACAGAATGAGAGTAGGATGAGCAATACCAATGCAAGGGATGATCACCCAAGAAGGGTGGTTGACCACCCCCTACGAACATGAGCCACCAACAAATAGGCCCGGACCTATTCTGACCACCCCACCCCTACCTAGAATCTAGAATTAGTACGGGTCTTGATACCAGTGCTAGATCTAATGCTAGTACAGGGTGGCCCCGAGAAGGGGTGCGGCGGTGCGGCGCGGGTGCCTGCGACGGCTGGGGAGGGTGTGGCCGCAAGGCGGCGCGTGGGTGGGCTGCAAGGGAGGGTGGTCGCGTGGATTGCAGCGCAGGGTGGTGGCGGCAAGGGATAATGGCTGCAAGAGGACGGGGTGGTGGTTTCGTTGGCGGTGGTATTGCTGTCTGTTGGGCTGCAGTGCGGCAAAAGGATAGCACACTGCTCTTGCGGGATGGTTTTTGGGTTCCCTGGTTGACCTTGTTTGCTGAAACGGTAGTGTGAAAACAGTTGGCAAAAGTGGAGCGCAGCCTAAGGATCCGGGGCTCCGCCTGGAGGCAGAGACCTCAAGACTCAAGACTCAAGGCTGCAAGTGGCTGCATCATGCAAAGAGCTCAAGCTGAGGCCCTCGAATCAAACTTCAGGGCCAAGATCTTCTCACCTGCTTCAGCCTGCTTCTTGCGATCCCTTGATGCCTTGCGGATCCTTGCGGCCTCGGTTTACGAAACTCAGGCCTTGTCTGAACAGACTTGCAGCTTCAAAATGGTCCCCTGGCCAGCACCTTGAACTCTAAAAGCCTCTCGGATTTCTTCACATTGCGTGGCAAAGCAGAGGCCGCAAGGTGGGCTGGAATTTGGAACCATGGCAGCATTCACTGAGCACTTGGATGAAGTCCTGGGAAGCCTTGGAAGTTTCAGCAGCGAGCTGAAAAGCGCGTTGGACCGCGAGAAGGGCCGGCTTCGCGGAGTCCTTGAAAGCCTGGGCCCGGCGGGATGGCTGCCCTTCGCCAGAATCTCAACGGTCACAGAATGTCACAGATCTCTTTTTCACATCTTCTCGAGGTCCAATGCGAGGGTGGCCTCCTCGACGTGGTCCAGGTTGGGAACCCTATGCAAGCCTCCAAGGCGTGCAAACCCTGTGAGGCGAAGACTGCTAACAAGCTGGCCTACATGGAAAAAGGGGACTTAGCTGAGGCTCCTCTCCAGGAAGCCCTTGCCTTGATGTATCCTTGCCGGAAAGCCTTGACCGCTGCCGTTGACAGTGCCTCTCTTTCCAAAAGCCAGAAGCTTCCGTGTGGAAGGAGTGCAAAATTCCAGGTGCTCTGTGATTTGCTGAGTCGTCTTCTCAAGGACTCCAGAGGTTCTGAGAAGGTGTTGGTCTTCGTGGAGCGTGTGGCGGTGGCGGGGCCCATGGCTGCGCTCCTCGCTGATTTTCTGGGCACAGAGACAACCCACGCCAGCGCCTCGAGTTTAGATGCCTCATTTCAGAGACAGAGAGAGAGAAAGAGAGAGAGAGTGAGCGATGGGAAGTGGCTGGCTTGAGGTGAGCGGCGTGCAAGGGATGTTGGAGTCGGAGCGAGCGAGAAATTTGGAGAAGTTTCGGTCCGGCTGCCGTGTTTTGGTGGCGACCTCTTCCTTGGAAGAAGGTTTGGACATCCCAAGCTGTCGCTTTGTGGTTCGCTATGATTACTTCAACAGTGCTAAGAGCCATGTCCAAGGCTCAGGTCGAGCCCGGCAGGAAAAGGCCGAGGTTTTCTATTTCGAGAACCAACCTGTCCTCGAAGAACAGCGAAGGTTGCGTGTGGAGGCCGTAGCAAAAGAAATGCCAGTGCCTCCCCCAGTGGATCAAAAAGAACATGAAGGCTCTTTGTGTCCTCAAGGATTTGGACGGATACCAGGCATTGGCAGCTGTCACAAATGGGGTGAAGAGCTGACTCTCTGGGACTACGCGTCCAACAAATCTTTCCGTGGAATGCTTTGCTTTTGTGGAGCCCGGCTGCATATCGCAAGCCGCGGTTTTGGGAAAAATCGGAAGAAGAAACTCCGAAGCTTCTCCTTGGAAGGCCCCAAGCAATGCCCCAAAAACTGTGACTTCTCGACAGAGCTCGACCCGCGGCTCCAAGGCATTGACCCAGAGACCGGCATCCAGCGAGAGACGTAAAAAAAGGACCCAAAAGCACAGCTGATTTGTCTTCTGAGTCATACACGTACACGCCTTGCCGCTCTGCATGCTGCCCGGTCCCAGCCAAAGAGAACGCAGACCGCCAGCCGCAACGCTCGATACAGCTGACACAAGTGTGCGTGATTCTTGTCATGACGCTCGAAAAATTGACGACATCCGACAGCTATGTGCTACTGATCGTAGATGGCTGACACCATCATGGGTTGTTCTGTTCTGTTCTCGTGCGGCTAGTGTCTAAAGACTCGCTCTCGAATTCATCTTGCAGATTAAAGGGCAACAAGCCAGGGACGCTACGGCACCTTGAATACAACGTAGTGCTCAAAGGCAGCAGCACTACAAGTACCAGCGTGTACCCAGCTGCCATCGCAACAAAAATCGTGAGTGGCAAGTTGCATGCAGGCACGCACCGCATCATGTTTGCTGTCAACCCTGGTGCCTATAACCCCCTCACAATCCTTGCCATGAGCCTTCGCCCAGCGAAGAAGCCTATTAAGCCAGCCTTCGGAGACCTCCGCAGGTTCCTTCAGCAGCTGTAACAGCCAGTGCTCTCCATGCGAGACTGTGCCCATGTTAGGCGCAGGGGCCGGAACTGCATCCGTAGTCGAAACAGGGCTGCATGTCAGTTAGGGAACACCTTGCCCAGTTTGGGTAATAATA